CAGAAATAAACAACACCCCTCATCCGGACCCTCATGGTATACACGAGAATCTGGATGGAGACGCAGAATATAGAATAATAGATAAGGATAGTAGAGAGTGATGCATTGCTAAAAAAGAGAGAAAAATAACAATTGTTTAAGAATACAGGCATGAAACACCCCTTTTTACTATTTAGACCCTCCAAGATGATTGTTAAAACAATTTTGGCATTTATTCCACATCTCCTTATTTTTAAATTAATAGTATAGACAACGATATCTATATAGCATCTTCGCTAGCCAAGGGTTACGATTCACTTCCCTCCTCTCCTGAAGAGGAGGGAAGTGGATCGTAACCCTTGGCTGGAGAGGAGGGAAGTGGATCGTAACCCTTGGCTGGAGAAGAGGGAAGTGGATCGTAACCCTTGGCTAGCGAAGATGTCTATATAGATGCTTTGCAATTTTTTTTACTGTATATCACGTTATATGTTATTTGAGACTGGAGTCCGATAAACATTGGCCTCCTGTCAACCGCTGAATCTGATAGCTCAGTAAATATTGTAAAGTGCAAACAAAACAAAATTTCAGGGGAGGGGGTGGTTGAAACAGTAACGGATTGCGATGTACTCAAATTGGTGATAAATGCTAGAATTTTACAAGCGCACAACTGCAGTTCTCCTCTGCACTTATGTATATATAGAAAGGAACTAAACTGAATAAAATGAATTAAAACTTAAGATAATCAAATGTAGCTGCATTCGCTGCTTTCCATTTACTTCTTTAGAATGTTTTGTAAACAACATATGATTAAGTAATAGAACAAAAGAACCAATTGGATGATGCTGACGAATTAGAGTTTAACGTCCAGTTGCAAATATCATGTCCATATGAGAACGACAACACGTTATATGTACCCGGTGTTGTATAAGACAGACACTTTCAGTCGGATTTTTGAACGTGCTTCTTTGAACAGACACAAAAATCAAGGCTGATTGAAAACATTAATAATAAATTCATGCATATTCCAGCGGCCAATCCATATCACGCTATATTACAGTGACACACCTTTCAATAAATAGCAAAGAAAGTCAAAATAAAAATGGCCTTACTACAAGGATACTGTTGCACCGTATTGTCATTTTTATTTACTCAAGTACATCTCATTCTTAACTTTTTTAATGGGAAATTATAAAGGTAGCAAAACTATTGTCGTGGCTAAATAACTCTTAACTGACACAATTTTAATTGTCCAACCCATTAACAGACTTTATTCCCCTAATAGTCATTAAAACGTGGTATTACTCACGTTATATTACAATTATGAAATATTTACTAATGTCAATTTATTTTTTAGAACCAAAGTACTATTTTGTGTCCTTTAAATGATATCTAAAATTGTTTGTTTCGCCTTTTATTAAAACAATTGCTATGCGTATAAGCATAAATACCACATACTTGCGCGACGCCTTTTAGTTTTACTGAAGTTTGCGCAGACTATGAAATGTTTTTACATGTGGAAAATGTTCTATGATAGATATCATTTTGTCAGTCACCTTTCTTTTTTTTATTTGGTTCTTATAATATGCCAAAAATCTGTATATTTAACAGAGTTGAACATTTAAATTGTGCGTTTTACTCTTAACAGACGTATAACCGACCCGATTAACAGACCAACCGCCCATATAGCCGCATACTCAATATAGATTAACCGACCAATCTCTCGGTTAGCCGAGTGTCGGCCGTGAATATGACCAAAATTATCTTAAACATAAGGGAACACTGTTTATATCCATATATTACCATGCAATATACATTCTAGGTTTACTACATGTACATGTATATACTCGTATAGCAAATATAGTATCGGGGCTAGTGATAAAAAAAATAAAATAGGCGCTAATGAAAGAATAAAATCGGAGCAAATTAAAGATCGAATTTTTTTTTAAATCGGCGCAAATCTCGTACGCCGTGTAACTTTACACTGGTAAATTTATATGACTTACGCTTAGAATTTTAACTTTTAAAATATGTGATTTTCAAAATTGAGTTTTCAGAAGGTTAGGCCGATAAACAATACTTTCTAGAAGTTTCGATATACTGGCAACGTATGCATGTTGAGATTAACTTATTTCTTTAAGATTTTCGTAAAATAATGGTGATCTTGCAATGAAGTTAAATTTTATCTATACTGCTTTATAATTGACAAAATCTTATAGTAAAAATAAAAATGATAAAGGTTCATTGTCTTTTGTCATTTGTTTCATTTCAAATTGTTTCAAGGAGAAATGATAAAGATTTCGCCTGATCTCACAGAAGCTTAAGGCAAAAAATATAAGAAATTAATATACTCAGTTAATGTGAATTAAAATCAAAATTTACGGTTTTTAAAACTAAACTTGTTGTAAATTTAACTTATGACAAAAACAATTGCTTCAAGAATAAGATCCAACATAAAATTTCTCACTTTCAAAAAGATACAATGACCGGAAAGATTGAAAACAAATTTCGATTTTCAATGCCGGCAATCTATACATACTTTGTCTTTGTTTAAATTTCCAAAATGAGCTATTTAGATTCATAATATTTCATCCTGTTTTGAGAAATACTTTGTAGTTTTCAACGGAAAATTATTTCTTAGATTCTAAATTATTTTTTGCATTAAAAACTTATTTGTATTTTGTATTTACTCTCTCGTTTATTCAAAACACGTGAGTTAGTAATAACGGGGATCGTATTTTATCATAGGTTGAATGGATGTAAAACATTTTAGGATCACGAACTTTAATTCATATATTATACCTATAATTTTAATTTTCTTATATTTTGAATATTCAGAAATAATGAATCCACAAACTAGATGGAATAATTTGTATACGCTCGTCTTAGTCGGGACACATAATGGTATAAAGAAGTCCGTCCGTGCTAATGTCTGTCCGTCTGTCAACAGTAGCGAAAGAGTGCGCTAGGGCAAAGGTCTGAAATTGACTCGACAAAAAAACCCAAACATCTAGTTTAATATAGTCAAATAGTCTGTAAGTTAACCAGTGTGAACTTTCATTTCTCTTTTTGTTTTCAATGATTTTGCTAATGAGAGGGAGAGGACAAAAACAGACTTTCCTTTCTAAAGCGTCGTAAAAAGGTTATTTCGAATATTTTTTTCATTACGACGGATGGTGTTTCTGAAGGTTAATTTTGTGCGGCAACATCATCATGAGATCTGTTACTGATACATACATGTGATCTCTTGTATAACCGGATAATAAAGTAGGTTAATATAGTTGTTATTTTTGATTCTTGAAAATTTAAATGTGGGTTTCAAACGTCCAATTTGCAATTTTTTTCAAATAGTGCGCCAGCAAGGAAAACTTGTACTATGACGTCAGATTCAATGTTCTGAAGAAAGACAACTCTTCAAAGCGAACGAGAAAAAAACATGAAAATTAATCATAACTTTTTTGAAAGGTCGGTGACATATACATTTTTTTGCTTTATTTTGAAGAGTACATATGGCACTTTCCTTCTTGAAATTTTTATGAAAAAATCACTGGTAGATATTTTTGTAATACTTGAAACGTTTTCATTCTTGTGTTTTATTTTTGGCGGGAATGAAATAAATCATATGTTTTAAAATCAAAACAATAAGAGTCTTAAACTCTTGAACCTGTATTTGATAGACACAAATCTACTGTTTAACATGAAACAAGAATTATGCTTGTAGGTTCGATATAATGGGATTTTTTGAGAGTTTAAATAACAAGCAAATATCATGTTAATATTAGGGAAAACACGAAACTGAGGTTGCTATAGTGACAAAACTAAGTCGGTGACCCCCAATTTGTTTATCATATTTTGTTCCTCAAATCATGAAATACCTTCACACAAAATTTTAAGGAAAAATCACTGGTAGAACTGAATAGGCTGTTTGGTCTTTAACCGGTAGATTTGCAATAACAGAATAATTTGACGTTTTTTTCATGGCTAGAAACAACGTTATAGAGCGTTTATGTCACTTCAACCTTCAAGAACAACTCAAAGGTTGTGTTTACGTTGTTTCTTCTTGTTTGAATACGCATGTTATATTTGCCACTGTATGATACTTATTTGTTTATCGATATTCAATGGTGTTTGCAGGTGCAATTCCAATGCCACTTGCCTTGAGATCAGAATAAAATGTATTTTCGTTTATCACAAAATTCAGTTTTCTTCTATGGTCATACACGCACCTAGTCCTTGTTCCTTGTTCGACTCCCTTTTTAAGAGAACTCCTTCATTTGACAACACTGACCCTGAGATTTTAAACAAAAGATTACGTTTCTTCTGAAATTATAGTTATTCAGGTAACAATTGACTCCCCATGTTTTGTTGTAAAATGTTTAATATTTTTTTAATAAACACGTACAGCAAATAAGTCGGTTAAACTTCACAATTCGTAGTTTTATCCTTCTAAACTTTTAAATAATTTACATGAAAGCTTTTATTATTCAAGCTTACAATCAACACATGATCAATAAGTAAAAACTTGGAGATGAATTGAAGTATTATAGTATAATAGAAACATTTAGATCTTACATAATTTAAAATGTAAAACTATTGATAAATACTGCATTTTTACGAATCATAATTTTCTTCAATGTTACATTGTCGTCCTTTCGTTTGATGTGTTTGTGCTTTTGATTTTGCCATTTATTAGGGACTTTCCGTTTTGAATTTTCCTCGGAGTTCAGTATTTTTGTGATTAAACTTTTTACATTATGAAACTTCATACAAATTATCCAAATTATGTAAGTTTATTTGAGACAGATACTTTATCGACCTGATTCCATGAACGATATTATGATAATACATTTATATGAAATATGTGAATTAAATAATAATTAATAATAGAGTGTATATTTTTATACGAAATTGATTTACTTTTGTATATAGGCTCATGAATATGTCGAACGGCAGTCTTTTTAAATTAGAGATATGACAACATTGGTACAATAAGTTTTAGAGTGACAGAAACTATTCTTTTACAGGAAGAATGAAAAGAACACGACTTAAATGTTGGAAACAATTACTCTGTATATTTGTCATCTTGTGGATCTTCAATTTTTTAATCACAGGTAGGTAGTGAAAAAAAAGTATTTTTTTAAGCGGGTAACGAAATGTGATAGAAAACATCTTTTGTATTGTTCGTTATTTTGTCTATGACGAATTGTTCAAAGTATTATGTTTCAGTAAAAAAATCGTTTCGCTTTAATAGCTCACATATTTGACATGTAAACGATGAGATCATACAAAAGTACATTTTGCATATCTAACGGTTAGAGTTCGATTAAGTAAATACCCATTATTGTGACAAGAATTGTGATTTATTTCAGTTGACGTACATATGTCACATCCACTGAAACACTTACTACAAATACAGAAGGTAAGGATACCAAGGCGGTATGTAAACATAAATATGTAACTAGCTCTTAAATCGGAACTATCCAAAATGAAAAAGTAGTCTTCAACATAAAACATTTTCTGCTTTTTATTTGTTGTTATTCTTGCAGCTGGTACATGCTGAACACTGAAAGCAGATCATTAATATTAAAAAATGTGTTTATTCCGAACGGAAAAGTTCAAGGTATTTCACTCTTCCCCGTTAAAATTATTTGTCGTGATTCCAGTTGTTTCCGTGCAATAACCTCTATGATGTGTTCAACCACTGCTTACTGATGACAGAATGGATGTCAAGAGACGGTTTCACTTATGCTGTTTAGGAGTTATTGTCCTTGATTGATTGGAAATGGCACTTTATGTCGTTTATGTGCAATAACTGGTGTGGTGAAACATTCAACCAATTCTTTTAAATTCTAATAGTTTGCTTATAATGACAAACTGGAGGTCAAGTTCAATATTGACGATTTTGATGTATGTCATTCAGGTGTTATGATCCTTGAAAGATTGGAAAATGGCACTGATGTCGATTCCGTGCAATAAATTATGAACCGTTCAACCAATCCGCTTGTTACTGATGACAAAAGGGATTTCATATCACACTACATTGCACTCTTATTAAGTTAAACAATGGTTACTTTCACAATTCAAAAAAAAAACCGGTTTGCTGTTAATTTGCCAGCTCATTTCTTGATGTGTGTTGTTGAGTGTACTTGTTTGTCCTTCCGTCGTCTTTCAGTGTTGCCATGGCATTGTCAGTTTCTTTCGATTAATGAGTTTTGGATGTCCCCTTGGTATTATATTCCGTCTGTTTTTTTAAATAGGATATTTTGGTTAGGGGAGAAATTTTGCTATTTAACAGATAGCCTCCATGTTCAGCCCGAAGAGAGCATGGCCAATCTTAAAAAAGAGCATCAAATTTAGCGTCCAAACAGCAACAATAAATAGGTTTTATTTACAATTTGCGCCCCAAAGGAGGAGAGAACATTCTGTCCTGGATATTTCTGTTATATTTTTCGCAGAGCCATACGGTCGATTCTCCCAGCATAGGTCTTCTGTTTAACCGGAGAAGTCTAGGTTAACATTTTTATATAATAAAAACACAAGCTAACCAAAATTTATATCTAGTAGGTCATCATATTATGTAAGTCCCTGTTCAGAATGCATATATAAATCTACTTGGATAAAGGGGGAAATATGGAATCTCATCGAAGAATGAATTAGTGAAGAATTAGGTTCACAGATATAGTCCAGCTGATCGGTGCATATTTTTAGAAGAATTGTGGGTTTGATGATAAAAGTATGAAACTTTGCAAAATTGTAGATATATATTTGGTAGTCAATTTAAGCTATGGACCCACTCTGAAAAATCCAATATGGCGGCCATTTTCAAGATGTCTGCCAATCAGGCCAAATTTCACAAGCGTGTATAAGTTAAAGCAAATAATATTCAAACCAAATCTTTTAAAAACATCTAAAAAGGAACCCAAAGTTTCTAGCAAGTCATGACGTTATATTAGACTGTTCGGTTTTTTTTCAAAATGGCGGAAACTTTCATAATGGCCGCCAAAAAGTGAAAATGAACAAAATTATGACAATGCTTTGATAGTTATTTTTTCTATCGAATTGCACTTTGATTCTAGTGATTTCGTTTCCATGATATATGGGTGATGCTTGCAGGACAATTTAATCAAAGATCCCATAAATGGAAACATTCGAACGTTTTCAGGACGCCATCAGAATTTGTTTGACCGTTAAGTACCATCTGAGTCACAAATGATAATTTATATGTTCCACTTCTCCTTGCCACAATACTTTGTTTTTCCTCGATTGTGGTAACACCAAGATTATCAATAAATACGAATAATCACCGATTTCTACTTGCAATGAGTAACATCACGAGTGCTACCAGTCGGCCAGAAACTACACACCCTTCCGGAACATCTGCGTTGACCCCTAGTTTTGATGAAAAGGAACTCGTGTTGTTTATGCTTTCAATGTTGTGTTATTTGCTCTTTTTTCAATGTCTGTGTTGGTCAACCAGTGAAAGTCTTGTTTATCCATCGAACAGGCATGGAAAACCTTATTTCATTTCAGACATTCACATTTGGTCAAAGTTTAGATAATTTGTATGTACCAATGGTTTTTACGTTTTGAATTTTGTGATTCTAAGGGTTAGAAAAAAGACATTTATAAATCTACCATTATATGATATATGCCTAATTACTGGATATGACTCATCTATTTATTTAAACAAGGGCACCTAGATATTGGGGCAGGTGTTGCTAAATTTTTAGATTTTTGTGTAGTGGTTTCTTGACTGCTGTTTGTCTTTTTTTGCGTATTTTCTTCATGTTCTTATCTGGTTTTGTTTTACGAATGATTGTTGAGTGCTTAAGTACCTTCTCCATATTTTTTAAAATATCTAAACTACAACATATTTTCACAGCAATTTTCAAAATGTTTCTTCATTTCCCATTTAGTCTTTGCCTCACTCCCCACCACATTTTAAACAGGAACGTATACATAACGTCATTGTCCTCGCGCATTTTCATCTACCTTGACATCCGTTTCATATATGTCAACCACATTTTATTAGATGATTACAAAATGCTGATACCTTTGTGATAAACGTCCAATAGGGTATATGCTATCCGCATTCACTCAAAGTAGCACTCTAGTTAAAAGGCCGAAATATTCATCCGCCTAAAGCTTTCACATGCTTTGATAATGTTGTGTTTTTGCTTTTAAACCGTTTCTGTTGTAGAACATAATGTGGATTACCTGATCACGTTATATTATTTCAAAGCTGGATTCAAACTTGTTAATTATTATGGCCATTTCTGGACAAAACATTAATAAATTCTGTAGTTGTGCGATATTGATGGTCATTTTGATTGCCCCATCTTCTCTTGTGACGTGTGTGTAAATGGGCTTGATCTACATTTATCATTTTCAAAAACGTTTGCAACACTTAAACTGTATAGTTAAATGGCATACTATCGAACACGGATACACTAGAAGCCATAATTTAGATTGAGAAATGGAAAGAACCAATGAATAATCAGTATTATAATGGAATCTTTATACACTTAGAAGGAACAGAAGGAACATTCTTCAAATGATCTCACACCAAAATGTCCAGTTCAATCTTTAATGTTACAGACCAGTTGTGGTTAAGTTGACTGTCAATTTCCCTCTAATTACTCCATTCTTTGAATGTTACATAGCTCTCACTAGGGTCTCGTTCCTCAGTAAAAATTATGTCAGGATCTTTGCATAAGAATGAGAAGTACACCTACTGTAACCTCATGGAAATGTCTTGTTCATGATGCATGAGAGCCTCTAAAAAGAATCTGTTGTTCATTAAGTAATATGTTTTCTATACGAATACCTAAAACAAAACTATTCTTTGTTCTGCTCGAAATATGTTTGCCCAGTTCCTCTGCAAGAGCAAAAAAAAAAAAAAAAAAAACGATTGATCGCAAGTGATAATTGATACATGTCCCCGAAAAAATTAACACATTGCTAGATTTTATTCATGGAATGTCGAATCGTTGTGACAGATTTGATCTTTTCTTGAAACATTGGTCAATGTGGACTGATACACAAAGGCGGATGTCCATTTGTCTTAACTGTACATATGTGGCATGCTGTCCAGACATATTTAATGCTTTCATTATCATCTGCTTCACGCCATCTGTTTTATCATTTTGTTAACTTATTTATACCATGTAAGGATGCACTTTTTGACTTATTAAACCAGGTTGGCATACATGTATTTCTGGTTAGACAATTGGCAGAGTGCATGTCCGCTAAACGGTTATTATTAGATGAAAGTATGAAACGCATGGTTATATTTGGTTAGTATTAAGGATATCTTATTCTATAGTAAAATATATAGTAAGTTATAGCAATAATACGAACAATTGTGCTGGCACATAATATATTGATTGAAGTACCACGGATAATAAGGGAAATGCATTTATTTCAAAGCAAAAGTTATGACGAATTTGCCAAGTTAGACTAAGAAAATGCTGAAATATTGAAATTGTCGTACTATGTAACGATTCTTTAACCGTAGTTCAACGCTTGATGTTGTCAATATTGTCCACGGCTGCTGTTGTAAAACCACCAAGTTTCGCGGTAGGAACCACATATTCAATGTTGAATGTTTCATTAATGGAATCTTCTAGTACTGTAGATAAATTTATAACGGGATTATTCATAAACGACAAACGTTAACTGTACATTTTTTCATTTAGTACCTCCTTTCCTGTTTCTAGCATCCAGAAGAAGGCCTATTTACACTAAGAGATGGATTTGGTTAAGTTGAATGTAATGTTAAAAAAGAATAGAAAAATAAAACAGAAGTTCCTTTGAATGACTTTTGCCTACACCATGTATTTTTGAACTACCTGCATGTGCAGCTTTTTCAAATATCGTTGTCATAACATACAGTTTGTTTCTGTTGTTTAATTGCAAAACCAAACTAATCACTAAACAGAAGAAGCAAACACCTGCCTTGTTAATGGCCTGGCAAGCCTGATATTACTGTATTTTTTAGATCATTACTATGTCCTCTTCCAGTTGATCACAGAGAAGAATACGTTCTAGTTAAGTCTAGCTTAAATACCAGTGTCTATACGTAATACCTCTGTGTAGACTACTGTTCTGCAAGAATGTTCCCGTAGTTACGATTTTCTATACTTTACTCACAAATCTTTTGATGTTTGATAAAATGTGGCATACACTTGGTAGTATAATGCTCTTAGTTTTACTGAAGGTACGTCAAAACAAAACACTTTGTATCCTTCAATAAGGGAATTTTGATATCTTATGGCGGCCATCTTGGAAAAAGCCGCCATATTGAAATTTCAAGTTGGATTCGTAGCTTATATTGTTCTAAGCACCCGGCACTACTCACATAACAAATTTAAACCAATGTAAGGGATATTTGTTTATTTTGATATTTGTGGCGGCCATCTTGGAAAAAACCGCCATATTTAATTTTTAAGGTGGATTTATAGTTAATATTTTTTGAAACACCCAACACTACTGCCATGCCAAGTTTGGTGCTTTTATCAACAAACCCACAATTTTGTCACCGATCTGCAGGACTAATAGGCTATTAAGAATGCGTAACACTTCAAACTAAGAGCATCAGCTTTGATGTCTCGATTGCACCGGATGTTGCTCTGTATTTATACATCCCGAACAGCCTCCCTCTACAGCATGGATCTAATTGCTGGGAGCGGAGAAATCCAGGATAATACATTTTTCATACATAATTCACCATTTTATTTATTTCATATGAACATTTTCTGTTTTTTATTTAATGACAACGAATTAAATCTCTATTGGAGATTAAAAAAAATTTAACAGCAAAAAGAAAGCATCCCTTTTTCTATGCTGGTCTGGCGACCGCAGAGTTAAAACACAACCTCATCGTATCGTTCAACCAGTTATAGATAGCGACCGCAAAGCATGTGTAGTGTCGATTTCAATCGTTCTTCTTCATAACACAATTTAGGAATAATTGCGTTAGAAGAACATCTCTACGAATGAAGAGTGTGAACATGCAATTGCGTAACGTATAAATGTTTTTTTTTTCATACTGCATATACATTTTGTTGTACATTATACATTTTTATTCTGTGAAACTGATCTTTTTGTGACAAAATTAGCTCTTCCTTAGATGGTCACCTCAGGAGTGATAGGGGTATAGAAATCAGGCCGTTGGTTTCTTCTCTTGAATTGTTTCACATTTTGTCATTCCAGAGAATTTAATACCCTATGTAGGACCCTAAACGGTATCGAATTTGCTCATTGCTGAAGGCTGTACGGTGACCTATAATTGTTCACATTCTTGTCTGTTGGTCTTTGGTGGTTAGTTATCTCATTGGTAATCATACCACATCTACTTATTTTTATATAGCCAGTTGTAAGCAGAAATTGATGTCCATTTGGCTATGTGGGATGTTTATATACACAGTCACGTCTGGTTTGAATAGGCATGTTAAACCCAACAAAGATTCGAATTCCCTCAGACAAAATTGACCTTAAATGGATTTCGATTTTTTCATGTCGCTTTTGGTTCTATAGCTCCTCACGTTTTTAAGTACTTATACATCTGTGGCTTTCAAATTTTTAAATTTAAGCGTTCCTGGCGATGGTTGATCCAGAAAAGCTTCGGACGCACCAAATTAACAAAAATATTTTTCATATACATCATTTTGAGAAAATGACACGATTTCTGTGCGTTAAAGAACATTTAACACACATTTTGAATTTTGAAATTATAAAGAAACTAAGGTGTTAACCCCCTCAGGCAAAGTTGACCTTAGATGGATTTGTCTATTTTTTTTTTGGTCCGTTTGGTTATATAGCTCTTCAATTGTTTTGGTTTTTATACATCCTTGGCTTTCAAATATTCTGCTTTGAGCGTTCCTGATGAAGGTAAATCCAGAAAAGCGCTTCGGACGCATGAAAGTTTTAACGTGTTGTTTTCATTTTTTTAGAGGTACATACGTGCCAAATTTCTGCTCTTATCAAACATCCCCTCATTCTCAAGTGCCAGTCACGGTTTCTAGCCCTTCATCCCGGACGACGCACTTTACGCTGCCTACGACGTTTTCATGTGTTTTTCCTGAACATGCAGGGAATATTTGCCACAAGACATTACGTAAGGAACAATACATCAATGTTCCTAAGATTGTATTTTTCTGATTTTTATCTGATGATAATTTCATTCACAAAAAAACGCTAAAAAATGCTCATAAAAGAAGAAAAAATAATATTTGATTGTTAAACCATATTTCATTATTGGACTAATCAGTACTTTCTATTAATATGTTAATAATCATACTATATTTTTGACTCTGTTGTCAATGATTATTTTAAAATAACAATTAATATTAAATGTTTATTCCTGTACAGTTTTATAAAGAGCATATTTTAGCCTTCAAAAAGTTCAGATCTTCAAGTATTTTGTTTCATCTTTATCTATAAGACAGTCAATCACATCTCATTGTTTTTTATATCACGATTTTTCACTGTAGGCAGAGTTCATAGTCAATGAAACAATATTTAGAAAGGACATTGTACAAAATGTAACGTTGACTAAAGAAACAAGGAAATTGGAGCCAGGAAAAAAAATCCACACAAGTAAAAAAGGCGATTATTTTGATACTTCCTTCTTTAATAGTCGGCGAAAACAAGATATCAGGACTTTGTCATTACCTTCCTCGCTGTCTGCATTTCAACAATATTACAACAAGAATGGCAATATAGACGATAGTGTTATTCTTTATGGACACAAAAGGAAGACAGCAGGTACATGTAATTCACAGAATGATAAGGATTTTGTTTAGTTTATTTCAACCATTTTATACGTTGGTCAGTGTAAAGTTTACAAAATATATAGTTACAGAAAACGAACCAATGAGGATACTTGTTTCCTCTAGTATGGGAAATGTACTTTTGAAATAATTTTTTTTTCGATTTTCGATTTCAGTTAGAACAGTTGAAAATGACAGCCTAACGTAATTCCTCAACCAATATCAATATAACATGCATTAAAATAAAACCAACAACTTTATTTCCATAAAATGAAAATGTTATTCAGCACTACTTGTTGGTGTTGGTGACATTTTGGTATAAAATTGATTGATTGGTGCTTGTTTTACATCCATTGTAAAGTAGTTAATGCATTTCAGGACGAGAACACATTAACAGTTAAGTAAAAAAGTAGGTCGTCCTGGGTGACGGGCGGACAATTTGACTGTCACTGTAAATTAGAATATGTTGGATAGAGGCCAAAAATGTGCCGTGTTCCAGGCCATCTCTCATAGAGTTGTTTCAATGGTTCTTGACATTCGAAATATGTAAATAAAAAGTGCAGCTTTGGGTTTATGATCGATGAGTCAGGTGTTCTTCGCAACAGAATGTTTCGAGAATACAAGTAATTTTCATCTTATCATTATATTTAGAAACTTCAGTTTATTTAAAGAATGACTGTTATATTTTTTTCTGTCTATGAAGAAATAACTTCAATAATGTGGTGCACATTGAATAACCCTCTTCGGATTATTTTAAAGTGTGCACCACATTTTTAAGCTTATTTTTCATAGACAGAAAAAAATATATTACAGTCATTCCTTATAATTTAATTCTAAATTCCATTAATATGGAGTAAATCATGAAAAAAACGTTGATGACGTCACGGTCACATGATAAAATTATGTCTATGAGCTGATAGATAAAAAAAATTCAGCCTATCAGAAGACATGTTACATCCCCAAAAAAATATATTATTATGATATGTCTCTAAATGTTTTAATCGATTGTAACCAGTTGTCTAACGGTTGCTCTGTGTAGAGAAAAACTGAGTTTTGGTATAAACAGTTGAATTAGCAACAACTTTTTCTTAGTTACATAAGTTATGGATCTTCCAGTAAATCCCAATGCAAATAAACATTTTACAGTGTTAGGCATATTTCATCTTTCTTTGGACCTCATGGGTTGTTTTGGAGTGTAGAAATATAATCGCATAGACTCCACTCTTGCAGTAGGACCCGTGCTGAGTCAAGGAGTGTGCGTTTGGTTGCTTGGTATGGTGAAATAATCAGCCCGTCCATTCAAAAATACAAAAATTAAATGAAATGCCTGCATGGTTATAGGAGAGTGCCGCGCTGTCTGCACATGAAATATCACCATTAACAACTCTTTGGTGAAGTACAAAATAACAAATATTGCAAGCAAATAAATCTGTCCATACGTAACATGTCATTTTCTTGTGTCAATCCAAATATCTCACTCTTCATCACAGTCGCCTTACTTTGCATACCTATCTAATTGATTTATTGGTCAGTTTTCTCGTCCTGAATATTCCTCTTTTTCTTCTTTATACATGTTTAGTTAAATAACTTATGATGGTCATACGCATATACGTTTTCTTAGATCATAGATATGAGCTGGCGATAATTCGAAGGGCAGACTTAGGAAAACATCAGAAATAATATGAATTATTGTTTTATTTATTATTTTAACAGGCTATTTGACCCTGGCAATACCCACAGTGAAAAGACCTTTTAACGACTACTACTACCTAAACTTTACATTAAAATCATTGGTATCAAATATCGACAACAATATAGCCAGTGAGGTGGTCATTGTGATATTTATGGCAGATTTAGATATGGCATGGAATAAACGTACAGCACGGTTATTATATATAGACTTCAGATCTCATTTTGACAGTAGACTCATCCACATTATAAGTGCTCCATCAAAAATTTACCCAGATCTTTCAATACTTAATAAAACAGAGCATGACCCTGTTAAACGGGTGAAATGGAGATCAAAACAGAATATTGATTTTGCATTTCTTATGCTTTACAGCCAAGGTATCAATCGGTATTTTATTCAACTGGAAGATGATATTCAAGTGGCACCAGGATTCTTAACTGATATTAAAGGTTTTGTTCACAGACAAATACAAAGTTGGATATGTTTAGGATTTTCAAGACTTGGATTCATTGGCAAAATGTTTCATTCTAAACATCTTTTTCCAATTTCGTCTGTCTTGCTGTCGAATTTCAGGTCGTTTCCATGTGATATTCTTCTAGGATATATTCGAAAATATATGGGACAACCATTACCGATAAACTCACCAGTCAGTTTATTTCAACACATTGGAAGGGTTTCATCACTAGAAAATAAAATGATGCCATCAGTTGACAGAAAATTTAAAGGATTTGGATCTAAAGTTCCGCTTATTATGATTTTACCGAAAGGAGAAAAACCTCCAGCGAGATTTCAGACAGATATGATGGTGGTACCAGGATACCCACCGGAAAATATATATATAAATAATTCATATTTTTGGGCGGAAGGAATAAATAAAACGCAATATTTTAGAATAATTTTGGAAAAACCATTAAATATATCAAGGCTTATTATATCTACAGGGAATATAATAGATAAGACCGATACATTAGAATATGGAATTTTAAAAGTTGGTGCTAATGAAAAAGATAGATTTTATTGTAGCGATTTGAGAAAAGTCGGCTACTTTGCAGGTGGTGATGTAGATTCTTTAATTCAAGGAATAGTTCTTCCATACAACATAGATTGTTTACACATTGAGGTGAGGAGAGCACAATTCAGCTGGCTTATAATCCGTGATCTAGAAGTATTTACAGATAAAAAATATTAAAAAAGCGGGTATTGTGTTTGCTTGCAATCAGTGATAGCAGAACATTTTCACATAACTCTATTTGAAATTAATATCCGTCTTTATAAGAAAGGCAGATTTTAAATGTCCATCAAGTTTACTCGTGGCCATATTTTGGCAAATAAATTGAAATTGGAAATCAAAATGTATTGCACATTGAGTGAAAAATATTTCAGATTCATTCATTAGACACACGGCATCGGATTTGACGTACCCATTCGAATCACATGTAACTGCGTATCTTTATGTAACACGAAGCCAAACGGATGTCCCTCTCAAACCGGTCTAAAAGGTATCCATAATTATATTTAAACTGCAGTCAGTCGTTTGGGTATTGGTATGAATCATATTCAACATGTGAACTACAATAAAGTAAACAGTTCTTTCATACCACTACCCTCTGACCATTTTATTCATAGAAATCCATGTTGAAATATATTCCTAGATACTGCTATCTTAATTAGAATTTTATTTATCTGTAATGTTGAATACATGTTGTATTTCTTTCATCAATACACAAAATCATGATTTTTACATTGGACGTTATGTGCATTGGCATGACCTGGGCATCGGGATGACTATATGGCAAAATCCTAGTTTCTTTTTTCATAGGATTTGTTCCACGTGATTTTGTCCCTTTTGACTAAATTACTTCCCTCAGGTGAAGTTTCAAATTACAAATCATATCGAATTTGCGGATAATCTACTTCTTATTGTAAAAATATTTAAAATAGTTCTATTTTAATGTCAACAGGGGAAAAATGATTTCACAAATTTTCACTATTTGAAAAATTACTTTAACTGAATACATAAAAAAATTACATTAAAAAGTTCTAAAACTATTGTTTGTGGGTTTGAATCAGAATAACATTTCTTGGAATAGTGTTCTATGTTACGGTTTACTGTGCTTTACAGTGGGGACAAAAGAATGTATCCCTCTCCTCAAAACCCTAACAGCACTGCAGAATTGGAGATGTGTCCAGTGACGACAGTTATCATTGTCACATTGTGCCCATTTAACAAAAACAATTCCTGCTAATAGTCGAATCTCTGAGGGAGATTTCTTGTTACAAACGCAGCAAGTTTCACCCTCATCATCATCGGTCAGATCACTGTCACTCAGTGAATTATCAAGACATATGGATCCTCCTTTATCTTTGTTCAAACCAGATATACCAAGACCTGCATTAACATCATCCTCTGATAATTTCATCTGTTTTTCAGTTTTAACTCTCTCAGTTGAACTTTTTCTTTTTAAGGGTGCCCTCTTTTTATATAATTAGTATCTTTTCTTGTTTTGTTTAGTTGTTTAGTTGCATTTTCAACTACCATTGGCTCTGATTTCTTATAGGGTGGTTTAAATACTACTTTCTTTTTTGACTGATTCAGGTGATCCATGTTTTTCTTTTTTCCTAAATTTCCTGTTATGGTAAAGTGGTCCCTTTTCTTTTCTGTCTTTTCAACTGAGACAACAGACCTTTTTAGCAGGAATCCGGATGGAGAACTGTTTAGTGTGTTTGTTTGAATAGTTATCAAAGGTACCAGGCGTATAATTTAATACGCCAGACGCGCTTTTCGTCTACAAAAGACTCATCAGTGACGCTCAGATCAAAAAAGTTAGAAAGCCAAACAATTACAAAGTTGAAGAGCATTGAAGAGTTGTTTGATGTGTTCAGTTCAATTATAGGTTCTGCAGTATATATTTGAATGTCAGGGTGCATGTTTTCAAAGGGAACTAGCAAGGATTGACGGTTTGATTCATCATGGTCTGATAAAATATCATGTTCTTTTAGAGCTGATATTGAAACTTCAAATTGTATTGTCAGAGTGGCAGATTTGCTTAATTCTTGAGAGGAACATTTCTAAATTGATCAGGCTGATTTAAAGTGTTTTCATCATCTTGGGAAATATGGCTATGGTTCATTGTAGATTCAGTTGCTTCATCAGATGTTGCTTTGTGGTAAATAGTAGCTGGAGCAAGGTCGGTAGTGTGAACGGCTTTTGGGTTAAAAGGCTATATTCCACTTTTCTTGAAAGATGATGTCAGATTCTGTGCTGAGAGACCTTTCTGGTATGGTGAACATGACATCTGTCCAATATCAAATCTTGTGATTTTACATCCAGGGTTTCTACGCATAAACATCTGTGCCTCCCTGTTGTAACAAGCCTTTAGTGGTCCAAAGCACCCTATATCTAGTGGCTGTAAAATGTGGCTACAGTGTGGTGGAAGTATGAAAATGATGATGTTCTTAGATTTAGCCCAATCTTGTAAAGTTAAACTCACATGGGAGCGGTGGCCATCAAACAATATCAGTAGAGGAGTGCCAGAGATATTATGAGATACATACTTGAGGAAGTGCTTTTCAAGGTAAGTTTTGAATATGTCACTGTTTGACCATCAAGTCTTAGAGAATTGGCCATCAGAAACAGGCGGAGTCCCATCAAGTAGAAGAACCCTGTCAAATTTTACAACTGGAAATACGTAGTAGGGTGGAACAGCATTACCAATAGCATTGCCAGCACCAATTATAGTTACATTTGAAGACCTTGGAGATGTGACAGACTGGGACTTAACAACAATGTCGTGAACTATTCTATTTGGGTTATGTTCAGTGTGCAGAGCACTCTCATCAATATTGAAGATTCTTTGTGGCTGAACATGGAGATTGTTTTGGATCATAATAGTGCCCAGCTCTTTGTAATAGTTGGAGAGTGTCTCCTTTGATGCACATCTAGTTCTCTGCATGGACAATTTCCGTGGTTTACTGATAGTTAAATTTGGCCATCTTTTCATAAAGGAGTAGTACCATTTGTTACTTAATATATCATCCTGAAGTTTTCTTTTGCCCATAAACACAGCTAAATCAGTTGCAAGATATATTACGTCAATTCTAAAATAACCATAACCAATGCTGGCCATATGTGCAATGTGGTCCACCATTTTTGTCTCTGTACCCTCATCAAACAGGTAATTTGAGCATCTTCCATCCACAGAAACCAAACCAAGTGTCCTATCTCTAAGTGTGCTTTCTGGAATACCATAGTTTTTTGCAGCCTTGTAAACAGACATTCCATTTTGGACAGCATCAAAGGCATATTTCAAAGCATTTGGGTCATACTGCTTTTTCTTCATTTTGAAGATATCTGTAATAAAAATTAACACTCATAAATATTTAAAAATAATAAGTAAAAACTAAAATCTACTTTGAAATAAATTTGTATCCAATTTTTTTTCTCTCATATATAGCTGCAATTATTTTATTTATAAATCATTGTATATTTTGTCCTTTAATCACATTTATCTGGTCTTCATATAAATTTTTATAATTCTAATTAAATTCAATCAACAGCAATGGTTTTCAAAAACAAAAAAAATGATAAGTCATTTCTTTTTAAAAACCTGAAAAGTGTTCATTTTTGTTAATCAGGCTTTCCATAGATTTTCCAGAGTCATAAGGACGTTTTATTATCACGTGACTGTTGTTTGTGACGCCTTACAAATGGCAGACGATAAATCAATAACAATAGATTGATTTTGGATGAATATTCAATATTTTTAGATGGCTTGATATTTCATGGCATATCAATGATTTTGGAATGGTGGAAAAAACAATATCTTGAGCTGATAAATATATTTTTACCTGTAGTGAAGACTGTTTGACGTAATTACATCTGTTGACATACAGCGGTGAACCAGTTGTCTGTAACCTCTGACCTCTGACACATGCACACGCGCTTTCAGTTCAACGAAAACTCGGATTTTAACATTACACCGGAATCAGGTATACACCGGAAAGAGGTAGTATACTATGGTTACGCTTCCCATTTTCAAACTGAAAAGGCCGAAATATTTCATAGTAGACAATGTGCATTGAAACACGAACAGAAGGAAAAAAACATGTACAATTCACCTATATGAGAACAAATTGTTGATTTGACGTAAGAATTGGCAAATTTGTATTTTTATTCTAAGGGCCAGTATAATCCTATTATAAAGGCTGTCGTCATAATAAGGCAATATGGCCGCTATGCAAATTAGCAAAGTACCTCAAATTTGTCCATATGGCTGAGAACGATGACTGTTTTTCGTAGTGTTTTCCCTTTTGCATATTGGCTGCTTGTATTTTGTCTTTTCGCCTACTTGCATTTGACTCCTCCCTCATTTCAAGGGAGGCACTCCATTAGTTAACATTTGTGTATATAGATATGGTCGCCTGGAATTCTCTAATGTTGAAAGAGGCCGGGTTTGTCCGTACATATTGGCTACGCAGGATGCATAACTACACAACCACGTGGGATCAATCCATTCGAAGTTAAAGCAACTCTACTTTTTCACTTTGTCTTTTATATAAGGTATTTTACATGAGACTCGGAAAATTAAGTATTTGTTGCATTTTGAACAAATGCCAATAGTTATTGCGTTGGGCCAATCGTTATTCCTTTTATTTGACTTAGACCTTAATAAACCATCAGTAATTATCTCGATACTTTTAACTTACGAGCTACCTTTTTTTTTGCATTTTTTACCCAAAAGTTTAAGACAAGTTTGTTCACGAGCGGTGGAGTGGGTTAATTCTGAGTTTTTTATGGAATAGGCGGCAAATGCGGTGGTGCTCTTTACTTTTCCGTCTACTCACGACTACATGTATGTACGAGCTACATATGTACTCACGGTATAGTATTTATGAGAAATCAACGAGTTCTCAATATCTCTATTGCTCCTCGGACGCTTTTGTTTTTGGGCTGCTGAATAAGGGGGTTGTACATGTAGTTGCTGCTGTTGCTTCGGTAACTCGAAAGTTTGGTGCTGAATAAGGGTATATTTCTGCTGATTTTGCTGTCAGTACCTTGTTTTTAAACAAACAGATATGCAACAATGCAAGTTGTCGTTCGTACACTGAATTTGAAGGCAGAAGCTCAGCAAAAGGAACCATTTGAGCAATTAGTATTCCTCACAAACACCTGCTGCCAAATATCTCAAATAGAAAAGAAAAAGAAACATCAAGATATCAAAAAGTAACATCAAGACACGAACGAAGAAACACCAAGACATATACTTCGAAACACCATGACATGTACAGTGAAACATCAAAACATGAACAAAGAAACAGCAAGACATATACAGCAGAGAAACAACATGACATGTACAGAGAAACGTCAAGACATGAACAAAGAAACAGCTATGACATTAACAGAAAAACACAAAGAAATAGACAAAGTAAAAAGGCCAATTGTATTAACCCCCCCCCCCCCCCCCCCCAAAAAAAAAAAAGAACAATGCATTATAACAGTGATGGTTTTGATAAAAATGTATGTTTGTTTAGTATGGTTTATAAATGTAGTAGTTTGATTTTATTATTGATAGATAAAAGATAGGTTAGATTTTCTGTTTGTTGGGTAGTATGCGTGTATTTTTGAATAAGTACCTCAAGTACTGTGTAGACTAACCGATCTCAATAGTGTCTGAATAATTGCATATGCCGAATGGTAGGCACAAAGGGTCAACAGGAAATTGAAAAAAAACTTTTCAGCTTCTCGAATTCACGTGAACTTATTTAAACATTTAAAAATCTTATACAATCTTGCATAAACGGATTCGTAACCAAGCTTGATCGAGTTACGATTTGAAGTTTATTAAA